AGAAAGAAAGAAAGAAAGAAAGAAAGAAAGAAAGAAAGAAAGAAAGAAAGAAAGAAAGAAAGAAAGAGATACCACCCATCTCCTGAATGAGCTTCCGTACAGAAGAAAGTAAAATGCAAGGAAAAAACGTACAGAAATAAAAATACTGAATCAGCGTTCACAAAATTACTAATCGGTAAGTTTCTGAAGCTGACCCAGTAATAAATAAAAAATAAAAAAATAAAAACAGCTCTTCACTCGACTACTCGTCCTGGTGTCCAGATTCTTAAACCGTCTTCTCAATCGACACCGTCAAACCGGAAACCATTCGAGCGCTGCTTTCAAAATAAAACTTTACATTTGCATGTCTTGATTTAAAAAAGGAGTTGAGTAGGTCCGAAAAAAGCTGGTAGTATTGAAATAAATTAACAAATTTTTACTAATCATAAGACACCCCAAATATCTGCAAAAATGGGCCAAATTGGGAGGTATGGGGGATTTAAAAAGTTTATTAAACAGTGGACAAAACGGAAGTTGTGGCTAAGTGCCGCTAACCGTGACGCTAGCTTAGCCGCTGCAGATTAACTGGGAAAAACTCTGACAATAAAGGATGTTGTTTCCATGTCTCGTCTTTCCCAGAGGCCGATAATACGTGCGGATATTGTTTTATGTATATACATTGATTTTATAGTGTGTGTGTGTTTTTTTAGTTTGGATAACGATGCTGGATTTTTATTGTAGTGTTTAAGTTTGCGAAATGGGCTTCTGTTGACATAASCAGCTCCAGATGAACGAGTAGAAGACTGGCGGGGCAAATCCGAGTCACAAGACTTTTACAGTCAGCTGCACGGACGCTTTCCATCCCGAAGGTAAAACAAATACTACGCTTCTTCTTCTTCGCTCTCTCTCTCTCTCTACATAAACAAAACAGAGCATGTTTGAAGGCAGGTTGTCGAAGTTAGCATATGGGATGTTTTTGACAGCTCGTGCGCTTTTAAGCTCTGCTAATAATCAGCTTTGCGTTCGTCGCTTTGTGCCTGACTGGTAAAACCACTGCAGTACGGTTTGAATAAAAGTGAAAAAATGATAATAAGCGGAAGTGGTTACTAAAACTTCCCTTTAACTAAACTAGAAACGTCCTGTCACCGCTGCTTACTAGCTGGGGGATAGGTTCTTCGCGGTAGGTTGTGTTTTAACGTGGTAATTATCTCAAACGCTGGCCTGACTTTCAGAGACAATGTTTAAGTTTTGGACGAGCTTGCGAACGTACGCGTGGGACGTCGATGGAGGTAAAGGAGCCGGAGAAGACGTGCACYTCTCGGTCCCCAGCCATATACGCCGGTGGGAGTTAAAATGTGTGTTTTTTTTGTTGTGGAACAGAGTCCGAAGTCATGGAAAACCCCGGCTACTGCAGCGGCAGCTTCGACGGCCTGCATCACCCCAGCGACGACGACGATGACGAGATGGTGGACATCGCAGGGGCCACTCTGGACTTCTCCACCACAGACGACGTSCCTCCTCTCAGCTCAGGTAAACGACACGGGTTTCACGGCCAAAAAACGGACACCACATTAAGCTGRGTTAATCCTCAGTAACACAGGAAGACTGTGTTTAAAAATAATCTAAATGCACTTCTAGGGGTAGAAATGGTCCCTAGATTGGCCCACTTTTGCCCTCCTGAGTCTCTTCAGACCTTAGGTTGATGCCTAACCCATTCATGATCTTAGGACTTCTCATTAAAGTTGTGTGACCTTTGAACTGTGGGGGGATTCAACTTCTTTTCACAACAACATGTCAACAAACCTTTCAAACTATAGATGAAAACACAAATCGAATGTAGATGTAATAAATTCTGATGGTCTCTGACTGAAACACTACATTTGTTCAGCCACTGCTTCTTCTGTCTGAGGATTTTAGACGCTATTACTCTGTAAGAAAACTAAAAAAGGCTCATCAGGCAGCAGCCCTGTTGACGGGTATTCAGAAATCTGAGCTTAAGAGTCCAGTCGCTCTGCTTCTTTTTGTGTCTGTTGCTTTAAAGCTTAGTGTCACAAGAGGTGTCTGTGTTTATATGTTGACATTTACGTTGGTACMGTATTCTCCGAAAGGACATGTAGCAGTACACTTCAGGGCTTGGCCCGTGACATGGGAAATATGGGCAAATTCCACAGGTGTCATCCTTCTAGGGGTCGCCACAAATGGTGGATGAAAAAATCTACTTTATAATTTATTGTCATTGCAAATTAATCCCAAAATAATTTATAATAAAGGTTTCAATATATATCAAGTGGAGCATCATGGTGAACTGCCATTATGTTGCACTTGTGAAAGTAAAACTATTGCGCTTCATTTGGACGCTCATGGTGCGTTCACACCGAACGCGATTTGGACGCGCTTCARKCARCGTCRGGAAGTTCTGCGGCGCCACAAGCGCGATTAGAGCAGAGCGATTTGAACGATTTGAACGATCTGAKCGTTCGACGCGCTGAGGCGCAAATCGCTGAAGTTAGAAAATCTGAACTTTTGCAGCTCGACGCGC